CTTTCATAATACATATTTAACACATCAGTGCTGTCATATGGGAAGTATGGTCAGCTTATGAGATATGCTGCAGAACCTTATAGTGTGTCTTGTGGTATTGGTCTCAATACCGCTGCCATTTTAGAATCACAGTGATGATGTCTGAAGTTCGAACAGGTTTGATTTCATTTTAAAGCTTCAAATGAAGCCTCTTGGGATTTGTGCCTTGGTGGAGAGAATCAAAATGGGCTGCTGCCAGGAGTGCAAGCAAGGGCTTGCAGGTACACGGTACAATAGAGTGAATCACTGCCGCACCAAACTTTTATAGTGGCAGTACTGTATCTGTGACAGAACAGAAGAAGAAGTGTGAGCACAGAAGTAAGTAATAAAACTAAATGTTTCTCTGAGACTTAGTTTGGTTTATATATATATAAACCTAATAGTCAGTGGCAGCTAGTCTAACAACAAACTTCCACACAATGCCACAGAGATTTTTATTCTATTCTCGGTTTATTGTTGACTGTAAGGGTCAGTGAAAAATAGACTTGGCAAGAATATCATGCCACCACTAATCCCCATTGGGCAAGCATGAACTAGATTACAGCCAAACCCTTTAGCAAGACAACGGCAGTAAGACTGTCCTGCAGGAAACAGAGCATGACATATGGATGGATTAGACTCAAGTGAGAGAGGATATAAATTAGTGATGGGTAAATCTCAACAGATTGGAGGGGTTGGTTCAGATAATCATCCAAAATTCTGGATGTTTACCCAAACTTTATCTAAATTTTCTTAACGTTTGTATCTATTTCTTAATATCTGCAAAATAGGCCTGGGAACCTCATGAAAACAGACACACTCTCTCTATCCCCAGTTTTCAAGTGCTAACCATATTCTGTCTCTGAAGATATCCTGCTTTTGGTCAGGCTATAACAACACAAGAACATGCAATCCTGTAGTTCTTCACTTCTGCACCCGGCCATAACAAAGAGAGCAGAAGTGCTCAAAAATAGTATTTCTGAAAGAGTTAACTGAATGCTTTGAACCTCAAGTGTCAGGTTCATGTCAAGTAGTGAGTCATGATTCTGGCTGGTTTGGTTTTAGCTGAGCTGGTTTACCCCATCACAGTAACAAATTATAAGATTTTGGGAGGAAAAAATGTAAAATATATATTGATATCAATGCTATTAAAGGTTAATATTGGTTTTAGTTTGGGCAAGTTGTTGTCTAACGAAATTGCTGAATAAAGCTGGTGTGTGGGCTTGTAGAGTCTTCTTTACTAAATCTTTCTGTGTACTCATTTAGAGTATCTGTTTTACATAGCCCCATCTTCCAGAGCAGATTTCATTTCACGCCATCATTCCACAAGTTACCAATAAAACTCTGTCATCGGTTAGTAAAACATCTTCTCTTTCTCCTGCTCTTTACCTGGATGAAGTTACATCTATTTAGCCACTCTGAAGAGTTACACATTTGCAACAAGCAGAGTGTTAATTTCAAGCATAATTATAGAGTGGAAAAACTCAGAAAAGAGGAAAGTAATGGCCAAAAATATTTATCATAATTATTTATTTCTAAGTACTGATGGTGCTGTGTGAGGTACAAAAAGTCAATCCTTTCACCAACAATTTATAATTGAAGGAGTTTACAATGCAAGGGCACATCTTCAAGAGGATGTTGAAGCAGAGCCGTTTGTTCACTTTAAGCACTCTGAATTAACTATGTTGAACTAAGGTATGTCCACACCACTTTGTTATGCCAGTTTAAGGTATTTTCCTTTTTAATTGTTATGTCCACACAGCTATGTACTTCTTCAAATTAACTATGTAGCATTCTGGGCAGATATCCTATGGTGCAGTGGTGTGCTGCACAGCTCTATGCATTCTGAATTTTTTCTTGTGGGACATTGTGAGGTGCCTGTGGACCCTACTAGGATTCTGGGACTTGGAGTCAAACTAATAAACTCCCATGATTCTACCTCTGGAAGCCCATCATTCATTTATATTTTGTCAGTGATCATGAAGGACACACTGCTAAGCTCTGTGATCATGACAGTTATTCATATGAACAGGATGATGCACATGAATTGGCAATTGAGCAGCTGGGAGGCTTAAACTGGCCATCATGGAGGCCTGTGGGTATCGTGATGATGCAGCTACAGGTGGAGGAGGAGCAGGATGATGAAATCGAGCAGTTACTTCTTCAGGGCATTTATCTGGAGCACCTTTATTTAGTAGAGTGCCACTTCTGGGCTCAGCCAGCTAGCAGCATCTGGTGGGACAGGATAGGAATGCAGAACTGGGATGACCAGGAGAAAGCTACTTTCCTAGAGATCTATGCAGAGTTCACCCTAAAGCTACAATGATAGAACACCAACATGAGGGCTCCTCTCAGCGTGGAGAAGAGTGTGGCCATCACGACCCAGAAGCTGTCCATCTCTTACTGCTCCCAGTCAATAACTAGTTATCTCAGAAAAATGCCTCAAGTGGCATGGGAAATAGGGTCAGGGATTCACTGTGCTCCTACGTCGAGGTCAGGAGGTAGTTTTGGATAATGAAAGGTTTCAGAGTAACAGCCGTGTTAGTCTGTATTCGCAAAAAGAAAAGGAGTACTTGTGGCACCTTAGAGACTAACCCATTTATTTGAGCATAAGCTTTCGTGAGCTTCATCGGATGCATCCAATGAAGTGAGCTGTAGCTCACGAAAGCTTATGCTCAAATAAATGGGTTAGTCTCTAAGGTGCCACAAGTACTCTTTTTCTTTTTGGATAATGAACATACTGTATATCAAAGAAGTGACTGATATATACTTGTGTATTGATTTTACTAGGGGGTGATACTGGGGGTTGGTGTTGATGTTAAAGGAAGAACTACTCCTCAGTGAATTTTTTCAGCTAAGTTGTACCAAATCTTTTGTATTGAGTTAACAAACAACATAGGTAACAAATAACATTACTTGAATTACAGAGTTAAAGAATGTAATGCAAACTCAAGACCAATGGAACTTTTTTATGTCCAGAGTGTTGCTCACAAATTCCTGTTGGTGGGGTGCTTGACACTGTTCTTTTCCATTCTGAAGAGGCTGGCTGGTGTGGGAAGTGCCTGCAATTTGGTTGACTGAAAGGTAGGTCCTAGTCTGGTGTGGTGTCCAGAGTTTACAGGACAGGGCTAGGTAGGGATGCTGTGCATGGGCTTTGTAAGAAAACGTGTTCCAGACCTAAAAGGGTCTTGCTTAAAAAGGCAATTGGCAAACCAGGAACACATGCAGAGCTGCTATCGGCCAGGATGACATACTCCCAGCTGGTGCAGGAGTGGAATGGAAACTACAAGTATGAGCAACCCTGAGAAGGTTGCCAATACACAGAAAAGCCAACTTTTAACTCCTACATAGTTTTATAGTAATACAGCATACTCTACTTACTGGCAGAGCTCCTGTCTGCAGCATTATCTGGATGGTTTCTGGTAGAGCTCTCATGCACAGCAAATGCACATGGCATCACCTGCAAATATGCAGTCCAGGTGCCCATGGTGTGGGTTCCTTTGCTTTGATCTGGTCTGGCACTGGGACCAGCTCTAGGAGTGCCTCCTCACCTCCATTTTCGTGGACAGTATCTTGCAGATGTCTGCATTCCAGAGACTATTCTCCAGATGGGCCTGGAGATCTGCAGGCATCCACAAGCAAGCACAGTGTTATAATAACTATGTGACTCTGTGTGTGTGAACTCACCACTACCTGATATTAAAAAGGGACACACCTGGCTTCGTGCCAGCATTTAATTAGAGAGAGAATATTCGGTCGAGATGACTCTAGAGCAGGGGTGGCCAACCTGAGCCTGAGAAGGAGCCAGAATTTACCAACGTACCAAAGAGCCACAGTAATACGTCAGCAGCCCCCCATCAGCTCCTCTCCCCCCCAACAGCGCCTCCCACCCACTAACAGCCCCGCCGATCAGCACTTCCCTCTCTCTCTCCCCACACCTCCTGATCAGCTGTTTCATGGCATGCAGGAGGCTTGGGGAGGTGGGGGGGAGGGAGCGAGGGCACAGCAGGCTCAGGGGAGGGGGTGAGAAGGGATGGAGTGGGGGCAGAGCCAGAGGTTGAGCAGTGAGCACCCCCAGCACATTGGAAAGTTGGCACCTATAGCTCCATCCCCGGAGTCGGTGCCTGTACATGGAGCCGCATATTTACTTCTGAAGAACTTCTGTGGCTCCGGATCCACAGGTTGGCCACCCCTGCTCTAGAGCAGTGGCGGGCACACAGGTACACAGACAGGCTGAGCTAGGTGTGAAGCAATACAGTGTGGGATAGCATGGAGAGGAATGCTAGAAGCAGAGTGATTAGAAATGCATTCAAATAACCCTGAAAGCACACAAACTCACTGCAAAGAAGAGTTAGTTCTACTCCAGATAGGATTCATGACTTCTACCTAAGGTGCCAAATAATTCATTTTTTTTTAAAAATTGTGTGTGTACGCAAGGCACTTTAATGAGAACAAACTAAAGTTATATCGATGTAACATCCCCATGATTGACAAGCCCTAAGAATAATGAATACGGTTCTTCTCTCTTAGGCTCCAACATGAAGAACATCACACAAAACTGTGTTAGTAGGGCACAAAGTTGATGATTTAATCTCTACTGCTAACATCAGCTTGCATTTCTATGGTATTGTCAAGCAAAATAGTGACTACTATATAAACCTGTGGTCTTGGTGTTGAAAACCTACCTGAGAAAACCAGTAAGACTTAAAACCCCCAACACACTTATCCTCTCTCCTCCGCCAAACAGACTAAAGACTCAATCTCACAGTCCTTACTATGGGAAACCTCTCATTGACTTGCTAGGAGAATTGCAGGATTGGGCTAGAAGAGAGGGATTTGTATGTATTAGAACTCATTAATGATTTAAGTTTTATTTCATGTCTATTAAATGTCTAGTGACAGTACACCTTCTCTCAAAACCAGAGAATGTAAGCGTGTGTGGATAGGGATAGACATATAGATAGATTATAGATATTACTTACAGTGTATTTCTAGAACCTGCATTGCTATCTGAGGTGTGGCGTTTAAGGACTCATGGTCTACTCTGCAACGTACAACGGCACCATCATCACCCCGATCCGCTCGGAAATCCAGTGTGCTGCTAACAGTGAATGTCCTGCGATTTGCATCCTCTTCTTTTAAATATTTGACATCTGCAAGAACAAAAAAATGTAGCTTAATGATTTTCAGGGAGCACAATGCAATAAGAGGCAGCTCTGGTATATATCAAATCCATTTCTAAAACTTTTCCCCTAGTTGCTTAAAAAAAACCCAAACACTTTATAGCCAGACATTCCATTATTTGTCTGATAAAAACCAATACTGCCATTGTTTTTCCTATGTGTGTATTTGGCAATTTCAAAATCAACTGCTGAGAGCCTTGACAAGAATTTTAACTGTTTGCATGGATAGGAAAAGCTGTAAGGATGCTATGCAGGAAGAAATTACATAATATATCATAGAATCAGATATCGAGAGGTCATCTAGTCCAGTCCCCTGCACTCCTGGCAGGACTAAGTAATATGCAGACCATCCCTGACAGGTGTTTGTCTAACCTGCTTTTAAAAATCTCCAAAGACAGAGATTCCACAACCTCCCTCGGCAATTTATTCCAATGCTTAACCAGCCTGACAGTTAGGAAGTTTTTCCTAATGTCCAACCTAAACCTCCCTTGCTGCAATTTAGGCCCATTGCTTCTTGTCCTATCCTCAGAGGTTAAGAAGAACAATTTTTCTCCCTCCTCCTTATAACACCTTTTATGTATTTAAAAACTGTTATGCCCCCTCTCAGTCTTCTCTTTTCCAGACTAAACAAACCCAGTTTTTTCAATCTTCCCTCATAGGACATGTTTCAGACCTTTAATCATTTTTGTTGTTCTCCTCTGGACTTTTACCAATTTTGTCCACATCTTTCTTGAAATGCACCCAGAACTGGACACAACACTCCGGTTGAAGCCTAATCAGTGCAGAGTAGAGCAGAAGAATTACTTCTTGTGTCTTGCTTACAACACTCCTTCTAATACATCACAGAATGATGTTTGCTTTCTTTGCAATAGTGTTACACTGTTGACTCGTATTTAGCTTGTGGTCCACTATGACCCCCAGATCCCTTTCCGCAGTACTCCTTCCTAGGCAGTCATTTCCCATTTTGTATGTGTGTAACTGATTGTTCCTTCCTAAATAGAGTACCTTGCATTTGTCCTTACTGAATTTCATCCTATTTACTTCAGACCATTTTCCCAGCTTGTCCAGATTGCTCTCAATTTTAATCCTATCCTCCAAAGCACTTGCAAGCCCTCCCAGCTCGGTATCATCTGCAAACTTTGTAAGTGTACTCTTATGCCGCTATCTAACTCACTGAGGAAGATATTGAACAGAACTGGACCCAGACTAATCCCTGCAGGATCCCACTTGACACAGCTTGGCTTAGCCATGGTCAATATTTCTCTCAGCTTTCTGACCCATAAATCTTGATAGTCCCTCAGCAAAAATTGAAATCTGCTTAATGCTCAACAACCAACTGGAAGAAAAATGCCTGGGTGGGGAAGACAATTATTTCTGAAGCAAAAAATCAGAATTACTTAACTACCTGGATTCTTACATTATCTGGAGTGAGTGAAAAAGCCCATCTTTCTGATTCCAGAGATATTTTTAATCTAAAAAGATGTAGCTGATTACATTTTAGATCTGCTTTCTAAAATTGACTTTTCATGGAAATTTTATTTAGGTCATTTTCGTCTCCCTAATGGGATTTTACTGTGATTTGTAAAACTGAAACCTCTTGCATTTTCCTTTCCTTTGATTAGGAAACACAGGACACATGCAATCTCAGTAGTATATTCCTTTACAAAAATTAATTTTAAGACCTTCATTAGCCCAAATCAATATGACCAGGTTGCTGTTTTGCTAAAATAAACAAATATCATAAAGGAGGAAAATATTTTAGCCTAGATTTAGCCTAGATTTAAAAAGTGCTTAAAGTTTGGATCCTACGTGAAACTTTCCAGCACCTGAATAAATAGACTTATTTTCAAAAGTGCTGAGCACCCAGGAGCTCCAATTAACTGCAGCTTGGACAGCGTCTAGGCATTGGGAGCCTTCACTTCAATGGAAGCTGGTGGATCCACAGCGCTTTTGAAAAATGGAGACCACTTCCTTAGGAGCCTTTTAGATGCCTGTTTCTTTAAAATCTTGACCCTTAACTGTCAGTGAAAAAATAAGTCAATGTATGTACTTTTATATAAACCCTGAGTATCCGGATCATCAAAAATATCTATACGTTTAACTATAATGGCCAAATATTTTTAAATTTAAGAAAAGGAGGACTTGTGGCACCTTAGAGACTAACCAATTTATTTGAGCATGAGCTTTCGTGAGCTACAGCGAGTGTAGCTCACGAAAGCTTATGCTCAAATAAATGTGTTAGTCGCTGAAGTACCACAAGTCCTCCTTTTCTTTTTCTGAATACAGACTAACACGGCTGCTACTCTGAAACCTTAAATTTAAGAGAACTTTTTTCTTCTGAGAATCACATTCATTAGAGGAAATGAAGCTTAAAGTCAAGAACTCTCCCCTTTCCCCCTGCTGCTGCCCCCCCCCCCCATGAAGACAAACAGTTTTCTTGGAACTCACTGTTTGCATATGCACTCTGACTGTTTTAACACTTTTTGTTAGCTCCATATTATTTGTCTCTGAGGAGGAAAACAATAGAAACTTGCTGATTTATCACTCATTGGTTATTTTCAACCAATTATAACCTTATATTCCTCCCATATATGTAACAATTATCTATTTAAAATATATATTTTTCCATATTTTAACTGGGCAAATCTGGTATTTTGGGCTTCTGTATATTTTTCATCTGGTTTTGCTTTAACCTTGCATTATAATGTGAGAAGGTTAAATTCTATTTCAGTTGCAGTTTTGTCAAGCCAAAAAGAGTACCACATTTCTGATCTCACTGCACATATTAAAATTAGCAACCTCATTTAAATTTTCCATTCTGTTGCAAAAATATTAATTTATTTATTTTTACTACACAGGAAAAAATCAGGAAACTAATTTGAAAATATTTCTGAAAAGTGAAAACTGAAACCGCATTTAAGGTTACATTTTCAAAGCAGTGAGTAATAAATTACGTGACAAGTAAGTATTGCGTATTTACTTTCTGATACATTTGAATCTCTTAATAAGCTCCATTTAGGGATGGCACAGTCAGTTGTTTTATTGAGCAGATAGGAATAAAAAAGGATCAGAAAGCCAAACTTCACATCCCTATGCTAATATGGATGCATATATAAGAGGCAGAACATTCCAATATAAGGTATGGAACGCCATGATTCACACACAGCCTCTCCCATTCTTGACATGGAGCCAGTTAAACAGTTCTCTCTTACAAGCTGATGATTCCTTTTTTCTGCTAATAGAAATGCAAGCAACATTTTAGGTTGGCTTTTTTCCCCCCGGTTCCTTCTCTGAACTGAATGTATTCGGTTTTCATGTTCTTTTGCACCGTGTATAATATACTGTAACACAATTGGATTTACTGGTGCCAGACAGCAGAACTCCTAACCTCTAATGTCAAGTGCATTAGCATACAATTTCATATCTATTTTCTCAGATTTATCATTTCACCTTTTCCAGTGCACAAAAGCTAATGTACCTTCTGTTGATGCCATTGCAAGGTAGTTAGGTTATTTTATTTGTAACCTTCATGACAATGGCAATGCGTTCTTCAGAAGACCTAGAAAACTGAAGCGTTCAAGGCTTTTCCCTCATTTGTATCTTCTTCACTTCCTATTCCGCCTCAGTTTCAACACCTATTTCATCCATTCTATTGAGTTTTCTTTCTTATGTCCATCCCTTAGGTACCTACCCAGAAAGCCATGTGTTAGTTTAAGACCAAAATCCCTAAATTGTCTGCTTTGCTGGTATTACATTTCAGCTGAACAGGAAAGGCATAATTACTGTGCAAGCCTGAAAGATCCGATTTAAAAAAAAAAAATCTGGTGCCATGAGTTGCCCCCTTGCTTATGTCTGCTAACACCAGTAGTTCATGTAGGATACTGGCACTACCTATGTTTATTTTCCATCTTTTGATGGCGCTGCTTGCACTTTGACATCTCTTTTGAATGACAGCTTTGCTGGCATAGTACAGCATGTATGTTATGTCCTGTGTTCAAATTTTGCCTTTTAATTATATTGCACAAGGTGCTACTTTTCTCTGGGTGACAGGTCTCAGGTCTAGCTTTGGCCCCACCTCCCGGGGTGGTGAGGCTGGGGGGGGATCTCATACTTCAGTCCCCCCTCCTGGGGTTGTGTAGTCAGTGACAGGGGGTCGTGGTGCAATGACGTTTGAGAACCCCTTCCTGCAGGCTGAAAGACTCCACTTTCTGATTTCCTGCTTCCCATCTTCACTTGACCCAGGAACTCAGGTATATTTTAACCTACTTGAGCCCAAAGTCCATGCCTCTTTCTAATCCAATTTTCTGATTTTGAATTGGAAACTTCTCAAGACAGGTACATTTAAAAGAAATCATATTTCTGTGGATACCAACCATGGTCTCTTTAACTTATTAATTTTGTATATTAGTCTTTGTTTTATTATGTATTGCTCTGTGCTGGTGGATACCAAAGAAAGTTGAACTGTTTCTCTTATTACCACCACAGCTTTGCTTGAAGCAGCTTTTTGATTCACTAACAAAAACCATAATGCCAGACAAGTGCGTGAGATACATGGGTATTAAAGGAATGATTTTAAAACAATAGCTACATAGAAACAGTCACAATTCTGACAATTCATTCACCTGATCTTTTAGCATATTGGATGAAAATGACAGCAATATAAACCAATACCAATTTTCTGGAAACAGGCAAAAGTGGATCAAATTGCAAAATAGGTGGGTTACTGATAGAGACATGAACCTGGTACTAAAGATTATTGTAAAGCATTTTATGATCCATCTCAACTAAGGTGATATTATGACCTTAAGATAACTATAATTAAAAATTATAGTTTGTAACATTTTGCAAAATAATCAGTCATATTGCCATTATGATAAATGTTGATCAATTCTTCCACATTACATAGTAGAATTGATTCTTGCACATTTAGATAATGTCAATCTTTTTATAAAAATGAAAGTGATACAATTCCATGCAATCTTCTATCCCATTAAATGCTTTAGTTTTGATGTTGACACATAATTACATGTAAATGTTTTTCAATACCTTTAATCTCTTTGTCATTCTTGAACCATCTGATATCAGCTGCTGGTTTGCTACCAGAGGTCTTGCAGGTTAGCTGCATCCTCTCTCCCTCCATAACTGGTGAAGTAAATCCACTAATTTGTGGCTTCTCAGGAACACCTAACAAACAATCAAACAAATAAAAGATACAGCATGTTGCCAATCAGCTACTTTAAGCCTTTGACCAGAGCGTTGTCAGTTGATAAGGTTAACCTATTAGAGGTCAATTGCCAAAAGAAATAACAGATAGGTTTATTCACTTAATGATTGACAGACCTAACAACAAGTGTCACTGAATTCCGTTTTCTATTTTAAACTGACCAGTGAATCTGAACCATACTTGAGTTTAATCGAAGAAAATGAACATGTTTTGTATGTTCATTTTAAACCAATCCAGCTTTTCTCATACTTTATATTCAAGTTCAGATTGACTTCCTATTGCTAGATATAGAGTGGATATCTGTATTTTAAGAAGATTATTTTGGGTGGGAGGCGTGGAATATATTAACTACTCTTGTTAAAATGAAACACAACCAGGAACAAAATCCAAACTGATCCAGCTGCATTTTAACAGACAGTTCCAGCATGAATTCAGGGAATCCTAACACAAAAGGAGAGCAAAAAGAAAGACAAAAAAATCCTTCCTTTTCAGATTTAACTAATATATAGTAATAATGGGCCCGATCCAAAGCACACAGAATTCACAGGAATTCTTCCATTGATTCAGTGAGCTCTGGATCAGGTCCTATGCCCATTAAACAACCTACTCAGAACATTAGAGATGGCAAGGGTTATGTTTTGAGGAATGGAGGGAGATTTTTAAAATAAAGAACTGTGAATAAAATTGAGAATATTTAGTTATATTCAATGACAGGCTTAGTAACACACAGAAATTACTTATTTTGAGGGGATATATCTTTCCACAGATTCTAAAAGCTCTCAGAATACGGATTAGGTTTACCCTTTACATCTGGAATGTTTCAATTAATTCACAGATTTTCATTCCTGGATAAAGAAAAGGAGTACTTGTGGCACTTTAGAGACTAACAAATTTATTTGAGTATAAGCTTTCATGAGCTACAGCTCACTTCATCGGATGCATGCAGTGGAAAATACGGTGGGGAGATTTTATATACACAGAGAACATGAAACAATGGGTGTTACCATACACATTGTACCAAGAGTGATCAGGTAAGGTGAGCTATCACCAGCAAGAGAGAAAAAAAAAAGACCTTTTGTAGTGATAATCAAGGTGGGCCATTTCCAGCAGTTGACAAGAACGTGTGAGGAACGGGGGAGGGGGGGGGAAGAAACACGTGGAAATAGCTTTACTTTGTGTAATGACACATCCACTCCCAGTCTTTATGCAAGCCTAATGTAATGGTGTCCAGTTTGCAAATTAATTCCAATTCAGCAGTCTCTCATTGGAGTCTGTTTTTGAAGTTTTTTTGGTGAAGAATTGTAACTTTTAGGTCTGTAATCGAGTGACCAGAGAGATTGAAGTGTTCTGCGACTGGACACCATTACATTATGCTTGAATAAAGACTGGGAGTGGATGTGTCATTATATCAACTAAAACTATTTTCCCATGTTTATTTTCCACCGCCTACCCCCACTGTTCCTCACATGTTCTTGTCAACTGCTGGAAATGGCACACCTTGATTATCACTACAAAAGGTTTTTTTTTTCCTCTCCTGCTGGTGATAGCTCACCTTACCTGATCACTCTCGTTACCCAACGCTCTCACAAATCTTGGGAGACAGGCCAGTCCTTGCCTACAGACAGCCCCCCAACCTGAAGCAAATACTCACCAACAACCACATACCACACAACAGAACCACTAACCCGGGAACCTATCCTTGCAACAAAGCCCATTGCCAACTGTGCCCACATATCTATTCAGGGGACACCATCAAAGGGCCTAATAACATCAGCCACATTATCAGAGGCTCGTTCACCTGCACATCCACCAATGTGATATATGCCATCATGTGCCAGCAATGCCCCTCTGCCATGTACATTGGTCAAACTGGACAGTCTCTACGTAAAAGAATAAATGGACACAAATCAGATGTCAAGAATTCTAACATTCATAAACCAGTCAGAGAACACTTCAATCTCTCTGGTCACGCAATCACAGACATGAAGGTCGCTATCTTACAACAAAAAAACTTCAAATCCAGACTTCAGCGAGAAACTGCTGAATTGGAATTCATTTGCAAATTGGATACTATTAATTTAGGCTTAAATAGAGACTGGGAGTGGCTAAGTCATTATGCAAGGTAGCCTATTTCCCCTTGTTTTTTTCTACCCTCCCACCCCGACGTTCTGGTTAAATTTGGATTTATGCTGGAAATGGCCCACCTTGATTATCATACACATTTTAAAGAGAAAGGGAGTACTTGTGGCACCTTAGAGACTAGCCAGTTTATTTGGGCGTGAGCTTTCGTGGGCTACAGCTCACTTCATCGGGTGCATCCGATGAGGTGAGCTGTGGCTCACGAAAGCTCATGTTCAAATGGGTTGGTTGGTCTCTGGGGTGCCACAAGTACTCCTTTTCTCTTTGCGAATACAGACTAACACGGCTGTTACTCTGAAACCTGCCATTTTAAAGAGAGTGGTCACTTTGGATGGGCTATTACCAGCAGGAGAGTGAGTTTGTATGTGGGGGGGCAGAGGGTGAGAAAACCTGGATTTGTGCTGGAAATGGCCCAATTTGATGATCACTTTAGATAAGCTATTACCAGCAGGAGAGTGGGGTGGGAGGAGGTATTGTTTCATGGTCTCTGTGTATATAATGTCTTCTGCAGTTTCCACAGTATGCATCCGATGAAGTGAGCTGTAGCTCACGAAAGCTCATGCTCAGATAAATTGGTTAGTCTCTAAGGTGCCACAAGTACTCCTTTTCTTTTTACTGTGTATAGTAACACTCATTGTTTCATGTTCTCTGTGTATATAAAATCTCCGCACTGTATTTTCCACTGCATGCATCTGATGAAGTGAGCTGTAGCTCATGAAAGCTTATGCTCAAATAAATTTGTTAGTGTCTAAGGTGCCACCAGTCCTCCTTTTCTTTTTGCAGATACAGACTAACACGGCTGCTCTCTGATTCCTGGATAAAGGGACCAGTCACTGAAATTCCACTCTGTGCTCTGTATCTTGCAATTTGGTTTGTTTATGTCTCTCCTTTTCCAAAGGAAACTGATAAACACGGCACACAATCAAACATTACTCCAAACACAAACAACAGCACCCATCACAGTGTAGATTCTGTAATAAAACTACTCCTACTTTTCAGAGGCATGAAATGGCATCTTTAATAATCCCTGTACATTAAAATCTTCTAATCCAAATCAGACCAATGAATAGAAAGAATATTTCTGCATATAAATCATCTTTCTGATTAAAATGATGGCATGGAATAAACTACAAAGAAAGAAAAAGAATGTTACTCTCATATAGGGGCATCTTTAGAAGAATTTCAAATGCAAGTTCTTATAGACAAATAAAATTATTGTGAGACAGATGCTTCTGAAACCTTGCTGCTGTCTTTTCACTGGAAAGAAAACAGATGATGTTGGAAAGCAGTCATGTAAAAAAACAAACAAACAAAAAAAAAAAAACCCAACCAACCAACCAAACAAAATAGACCATAAAAAATTAAGCCACCCTGATTAGAAGCTACTGATTAGATGTTTGGCTTTTTACTTTTGTAACACCCTTTTATCTGTGTCCCACTGCCATTTAATAGGTTGAATTTGACTGATCATCTATTCTTTGGATCTGGAGATGGCTCTCTACAGAAAAAAAATTAACCCTTAGGCATTTGTTATCCCAAAATACTTTGCTTTGAGCGGATATTTTTTGTCCTTAATGGCAAACTTGTGAAGATTTTTGTAAAATAGACTCAGTGGGACTCACAGAGGCATATTTCATATCCTATGCACAAAACCAATTCCCTGGCTGGATTAACTTTAATAGTACTAGCCCAGAGAACATCTTGCATTAGTCCTATTAAATTCAACTGCCTGCTTTTCTATATATAAAAAGCAAAACAAAACAAAATGGAAACAAAAATCAATCTTTAAAATCATATCACTTGTTAAGTACACACGTGTCTTTCAATGAACTATAGCAATTTCAGCTGATTGGGCGACTGACATTGACAGAATCACATAAAGCTTGGAACTGAAACATTATTTTTTGGGCATCTCTATAAATCTAGTGTGTGTGTGTGTGTGTGTGTGTCTAACCTTTGGGGAAAATGGCAGAGCATTTAGAGGATGAAGCATACAAGAAGCTTCAGGGAAAATATGCACTTTGTAGAGGAAAAAAGAAAATAGAATGAGCCAAAAAAATGCATAGCTAAGGAAAAACTATGAGCCTTTAAAGCCCTTTTTGATTTCACGCTCTCTGGTTTTGTCTCCTTTGCACTATACAGTACATTGTTAGGAGATGAACACATGCACCCTGTTAACCCCTTTGGTGCTTGGGATATAGAGGTTATGTCCATTTTAAGGAGCACTCAGTGGTGCTATTGATGTGCACCGTAATTCATGGTCCTGCCACTTCACACATAATAAGGGGCTTGCTATTCCTTGGCATGGTTCAAGTCAAGCAATCTTTAGAGAAAGTAAGAGAGGGTGTTTTACATGCATCTTCTGCTACGTTTTCTGAAAATTCACCCTAGAAATATATACCAAGATTTGAGAAGTCTTAGAACTCCTCTCTTAACTCATTTCACTTTGGTATTCTCAGCCAGCTATACTTACCCAGAACAGTGAGAAAAGCCTTGGAAGTTTTGACAGGCATAGTAAATAAAGAACAGGTGTATTGCCCTTCATCTGACAGAGACACATCACTGATGCTGATGCTCAGTTCATGCCATGAAGCTCGAACCAGCTCAATCCTGTTGTCCCTCAGGGCTGGAAAACAAAATGTATATGTTAAAGATACAAAATATTACATTAATACAGTATAGTATGTTATTCAATAGGTTTAAATGCAGCAGTCTAATGAACATTTTTAATTACAAATCAGTTATATGGGGACATAGACCAGTTAAATATAGATTATGATGTTATTTTTTTCCTTTGAGGGAATTACAACATTTGAACAGTTTTTGGATAGTCTCAAAATCAGCTGAAAAGCAAAATGTGACCATATAAATTATTACATATTTAATATTGGGATTCAGTGATGTAACCAGTCTCAGCTACATTTTGGTCCCTTGCATTGTATCAAATGATATTAAATCATCTGAACTACTACACAAGTATGCAACAGAACAATGAATCCAAAATACCATCCCTTGATTTTCATTTGTTTCCTAGAAGCAGGACAGAACAGTGACACAACAGGCAGGGGGGAATATAGAATCATAGACTTTAAGGTCAGAAGGGACCATTATGATCGTCTAGTCTGACCTGCACAACGCAGGCCACAGAATCGCAGCCACCCAGTCCTGTAACAAACCTCTAACCTATGTCTGAGCTATTGAAGTCCTCAAATCGTGGTTTAAAGCCTTCGAGGTGCAGAGAATCCTCCAGCAAGTGACCCATGCCCCACACTGCAGGGGAAGGCAAAAAACCCCCAGGGCCTCTGCCAATCTCCCCTTGAGGAAAATTCCTTCCCGACTCCAAATATGGCCATTAGCTGAACCCTGAGCATGTGGGCAAGACTCACCAGCCAGACACCCAGGAAAGAATTCTCTGTAGTAACTCAGATCCCACCCCATCTAACATCCCATCATAGGCCATTGGGCATATCTATCGCTAATAGTTGAAGATCAATTAATTGCCAAAATTAGGCTATCCCATCATATCATCCCTTCCATAAACTTATCAAGCTTAGTCTTGAAGCCAGATATGTCTTTTACCCCCACTGGTTCCCTTGGAAGGCTGTTCCAGTACTTCACTCCTCTGGTGGTTAGAAACCTTCGTCTAATTTCAAGTCTAAAACTTCCTGATGGCCAGTTTATATCCATTTGTTCTTGCGTCCACATTGGTACTGAGCTTAAATAATTCTTCTCCCTCTGTGGTATTTATCCCTCTGATATATTTATAGAGAGCAATCATATCTCCCCTCAGCCTTCTTTTGGTTAGGCTAAACAAGCCAAGCTCCTTGAGTCTCCTTTCATAAGACAAAAAGAAAAGGAGTACTTGTGGCACCTTAGAGACTAACCAATTTATTTGAGCATGAGCTTTCGTGAGCCACAGCTCACTTCATCAGATGTGTACCGTGGAAACTGCAGCAGACTTTATATACACACAGAGAATATGAAACAATACCTCCTCCCACCCCACTGTCCTGCTGGTAATAGCTTATCTAAAGTGATCAACAGGTGGGCCATTTCCAGCACAAATCCAGGTTTTCTCACCCTCCACCCCCCCACACAAATTCACTCTCCTGCTGGTGCTAGCCCATCCAAAGTGACAACTCTTTACATAATCAAGTCGGGCTATTTCCTGCATAGATCCAGGTTTTCTCACTTCCCCCCCACCCCCATACACACACAAACTCACTCTCCTGCTGGTAATAGCTCATCTAAACTGACCACTCTCCAAGTTTAAATCCAAGTTAAACCAGAATATCTGGGGGGGGGGGGGTAGGAAAAAACAAGAGGAAACAGGCTACCTTGCATAATGACTTAGCCACTCCCAGTCTCTATTTAAGCCTAAATTAATAGTATCCAATTTGCAAATGAATTCCAATTCAGCGGTTTCTTGCTGGAGTCTGGATTTGAAGTTTTTTTGTTTTAAGATAGCGACCTTCATGTCTGTGATTGCGTGACCAGAGAGATTGAAGTGTTCTCCGACTGGTTTATGAATGTTAGAATTCTTGACATCTGATTTGTGTCCATTTATTCTTTTACGTAGAGACTGTCCAGTTTGACCAATGTACATGGCAGAGGGGCATTGCTGGCACATGATGGCATATATCACATTGGTGGATGTGCAGGTGAACGAGCCTCTGATAGTGTGGCTGATGTTATTAGGCCCTGTGATGGTGTCCCCTGAATAGATATGTGGGCACAATTGGCAACGGGCTTTGTTGCAAGGATAAGTTCCTGGGTTAGTGGTTCTGTTGTGTGGTATGTGGTTGTTGGTGAGTATTTGCTTCAGGTTGCGGGGCTGTCTGTAGGCAAGGACTGGCCTGTCTCCCAAGACTTGTGAGAGTGTTGGGTCATCCTTTAGGATAGGTTGTAGATCCTTAATAATGCGTTGGAGGGGTTTTAGTTGGGGGCTGAAGGTGACCGCTAGTGGCGTTCTGTTATTTTCTTTGTTAGGCCTGTCCTGTAGTAGGTAACTTCTGGGAACTCTTCTGGCTCTATCAATCTGTTTCTTTACTTCTGCAGGTGGGTATTGTAGTTGTAAGAAAGCTTGACAGAGATCTTGTAGGTGTTTGTCTCTGTCTGAGGGGTTGGAGCAAATGCGGTTGTATCGCAGAGCTTGGCTGTAGACGATGGATCGTGTGGTGTGGTCAGGGTGAAAGCTGGAGGCATGCAGGTAGGAATAGCGGTCAGTAGGTTTCCGGTATAGGGTGGTGTTTATGTGGCCATTGTTTATTAGCACTGTAGTGTCCAGGAAGTGGATCTCTTGTGTGGACTGGACCAGGCTGAGGTTGGTGGTGGGATGGAAATTGTTGAAATCATGGTGGAATTCCTCAAGGGCTTCTTTTCCATGGGTCCAGATGATGAAGATGTCATCAATATAGCGCAAGTAGAGTAGGGGCTTTAGGGGACGAGAGCTGAGGAAGCGTTGTTCTAAATCAGCCATAAAAATGTTGGCATACTGTGGGGCCATGTGGGTACCCATAGCAGTGCCGCTGATCTGAAGGTATACATTGTCCCCAAATGTGAAATAGTTATGGGTAAGGACAAAGTCACAAAGTTCAGCCACCAGGTTAGCCGTGACATTATCGGGGATAGTGTTCCTGACGGCCTGTAGTCCATCTTTGTGTGGAATGTTGGTGTAGAGGGCTTCTACATCCATAGTAGCCAGGATGGTGTTATCAGGAAGATCACCGATGGATTGAAGTTTCCGGAAACTTCAATCCATCGGTGATCTTCCTGATAACACCATCCTGGCTACTATGGATGTAGAAGCCCTCTACACCAACATTCCACACAAAGATGGACTACAGGCCGTCAGGAACACTATCCCCGATAATGTCACGGCTAACCTGGTGGCTGAACTTTGTGACTTTGTCCTTACCCATAACTATTTCACATTTGGGGACAATGTATACCTTCAGATCAGCGGCACTGCTATGGGTACCCACATGGCCCCACAGTATGCCAACATTTTTATGGCTGATTTAGAACAACGCTTCCTCAGCTCTCGTCCCCTAAAGCCCCTACTCTACTTGCGCTATATTGATGACATCTTCATCATCTGGACCCATGGAAAAGAAGCCCTTGAGGAATTCCACCATGATTTCAACAATTTCCATCCCACCACCAACCTCAGCCTGGTCCAGTCCACACAAGAGATCCACTTCCTGGACACTACAGTGCTAATAAACAATGGCCACATAAACACCACCCTATACCGGAAACCTACTGACCGCTATTCCTACCTGCATGCCTCCAGCTTTCACCCTGACCACACCACACGATCCATCGTCTACAGCCAAGCTCTGCGATACAACCGCATTTGCTCCAACCCTCAGACAGAGACAAACACCTACAAGATCTCTGTCAAGCTTTCTTACAACTACAATACCCACCTGCAGAAGTAAAGAAACAGATTGATAGAGCCAGAAGAGTTCCCAGAAGTTACCTACTACAGGACAGGCCTAACAAAGAAAATAACAGAACGCCACTAGCGGTCACCTTCAGCCCCCAACTAAAACCCCTCCAACGCATTATTAAGGATCTACAACCTATCCTAAAGGATGACCCAACACTCTCACAAGTCTTGGGAGACAGGCCAGTCCTTGCCTACAGACAGCCCCGCAACCTGAAGCAAATACTCACCAACAACCACATACCACACAACAGAACCACTAACCCAGGAACTTATCCTTGCAACAAAGCCCGTTGCCAATTGTGCCCACATATCTATTCAGGGGACACCATCACAGGGCCTAATAACATCAGCCACACTATCAGAGGCTCGTTCACCTGCACATCCACCAATGTGATATATGCCATCATGTGCCAGCAATGCCCCTCTGCCATGTACATTGGTCAAACTGGACAGTCTCTACGTAAAAGAATAAATGGACACAAATCAGATGTCAAGAATTATAACATTCATAAACCAGTCGGAGAACACTTCAATCTCTCTGGTCACGCAATCACAGACATGAAGGTCGCTATCTTAAAACAAAAAAACTTCAAATCCAGACTCCAGCGAGAAACTGCTGAATTGGAATTCATTTGCAAATTGGATACTATTAATTTAGGCTTAAATAGAGACTGGGAGTGGCTAAGTCATTATGCAAGGTAGCCTGTTTCCTCTTGTTTTTTCCTACCCCCCCCCCCCAGATATTCTGGTTTAACTTGGATTTAAACTTGGAGAGTGGTCAGTTTAGATGAGCTATTACCAGCAGGAGAGTGAGTTTGTGTGTGTATGGGGGTGGGGGGGAAGTGAGAAAACCTGGATCTATGCAGGAAATAGCCCGACTTGATTATGTAAAGAGTTGTCACTTTGGATGGGCTAGCACCAGCAGGAGAGTGAATTTGTGTGGGGGGGTGGAGGGTGAGAAAACCTGGATTTGTGCTGGAAATGGCCCACCTGTTGATCACTTTAGATAAGCTATTACCAGCAGGACAGTGGGGTGGGAGGAGGTATTGTTTCATATTCTCTGTGTGTATATAAAGTCTGCTGCAGTTTCCACGGTACACATCTGATGAAGTGAGCTGTGGCTCACGAAAGCTCATGCTCAAATAAATTGGTTAGTCTCTAAGGTGCCACAA